CAAGGGCTTGTGTGCACCAGATGTGTGTGAGCTGGATGAATTGGGCTATATCTACAACTGAACAGAGGTCATGGGCAGAGGGCAAAAAACGTAGTTCAAGAATTTGTAGATGCCATCAGAGGGATTATCTGTGGAAAGGAGTTGATGCTGCGCCTTGTTTCTGTTGTTACAGAAACGCTGTAAAAGGTTCAGGGGATAGGTGCCACTCTTACAGACTGCTCACTTGGGTACTTCTACTTGTCTGTTATTCAGTCCTCATTCTGCCTACCCAGGCCTCTTTTCCTGCCCGTTTATTGCCACTATTTCCAGCTCCTTGCCTCTGGAGATATATGCTGCTTTTTCCCAAGTCTCTCCCGGGCTGGCAGCTGAAGCTTTCATCTCCCAGTTCATTATAATGTAAAATACATTAATTTCCCTATACTTTGTGCACAGGCTGTAGTATGCAGGAAATACACACTTTGTCATTTGTGAGGTGCTAACTCTGTCTAACTCAGCTGTACAGCTCAGGGGCCTGGGCTTTCTATGTAGACAGCAAAGAAGGCGGTAGGCTCTTAGCTTGGGCGTTCAGCATCACTCTCTGGAGACCATATCTCCTCTGCGAGCATTGGCTCCTAATTTGGGCACCCAAGTTAACACAAGTTGATAAGCCCTTTCCCTTACTGTATACCTGCTGTTCGATTCTTCTCGCTTCCTGGCTGTGCAAAAGGCAGGAGTTATAATCAGCACTCAGTGAATCACTTAATTCCTCTGACAATTGTTTCTCCCATCTAGAAAGAAATGATGCATTTCCCTGCTTTCTGCCATTTATAGAGAAGTGTCTGCCTGCATTTTTTTTTCCCCTCAGCCTTACTTTTCACTCCTTTCTCAGTGTGAGACAGGCTTGCTGAGTCTGTCTCTGCTTCCCATTTGCCACGTGTGAGAGGCTGAGCAGAGGAACATTGTGTGCTGCCTCAGGACTCGGTGGGGCTGACTTGCAGAGCATCACGGAGTGAGGAGTTGCAACTGCTGGAGGAAACTTATTGATGCTTAAGCTCAAGGCACTGCATTCCTCGGGACTTTTCTAAAGATGACTGGTTATATTATCTTTTTTTTTTTCTTTCCTCTGTGGATGAATCATTAAATTGCCTGTGAGATCTTCTGAAGATAAATGTCGTGTAGATAAAGGTCCCGTGTTAACTCAGCAGTTCGGTACGTAGAATTCAGGAGAATGGGAAACTTGGGAAAAAAAAAAAAAAGCTTATAAAGGGAACTGGTCTGGAAGCAGGGATGGTGATGAGAAACAGTATTTGCCAAAGGCTTGCTATTTCATGTGACCATATGCATTCTGGGGGTCTGATTCAGCTTCCTTTGAAGTCAGTGATAGTCTGCTGTTGTCTTGTGTGGCAGTGGGATCAGCCTCGTTAAGACAAGCCTGGCCTCTATACTGCATAATATTTCTCCTTTTGGCTTCCAATAGAGACATCCATATGGAAGGAACAAGGATGTTTCCTTGCTTTTTCATTGTAAATGTGTTTTCCTTTTGCAACAAATCCAAATGAATGCAAAAGCACTGCAGCTTGCAGATTGTGAACATTCCTTGCCCAGGTCTTGGGACAAGAGAATTGATGATGTTGAGGAGAAATGCAGAGATCAAAGCTGCAAACCTCTGAGCTGGTCCAGCGATATGGAAGCTTTCCTCATTTTTGTGCTGTAGCAACAGTAGCAGCCACCACTGCAGCCCTTCCCCAGAGCCTCCCTCCAGTGTGGGACCTGCATCTGCTGGTGGCCATCAGTTCCCAGGTCTTTCTCCCATGTAAGGGAGTCACAGTGCAGAGTGATAGGGTTAAATGCTGCTCTAAGACAGTTCAGGGTACCCTCACGCATCTTTTTATCTTACTTGCCATCTTGGGTTTCTTGTCACTTGTCTTTCCTACTCTTGGCACCCAAAAACCAGTCTCTCTGGGCTGCCTACTGCTCTTTTTGCATATCTGGTGTTTTGGTCTCATCCACCAGGGAGAGCGTATATACTAAAAAATGGTGGTTGTCTAAGGTTTGAAAGTTACTGAAGACCTAGACAAATAATTTCTCTTTTAGTTCTCTGGCTGAACCAAATACTGGATTCAAATGCCAAATCAGCAAAACCAGGTTGTTTCAGATTGCTCAGACTATTTCATTATCAGAGATTTGGTGGGGAAGTTTATTCTTTAAAAAAAAAAAAAAAAAAAAAGAACAGGTGAGGCACATTTGGTCTCAAGGCTTCATTTAAAAATGAAAAAAAAAAAAAAAAAAAAAAACCAAACCGAGAAAAAATTTTTTTTTTAAAATTGCATTTGCCCAAGTATTGAAAAAAAAAAAAAAAAAAAAAAAAAAACAAACCAAACCGTGAAATAATTTTATTTTTAAGCAAAAGAGAAAAATAAAAGAAACAAGTGTTCTTGAACAGCAAACCAGTCATCTGAAGAAACTCTCACAGGAAAGGGTTAAAATCCCTGTGGTGTCTCCACTGACCTCCACATTACACTGAAGAGGAATTTGGCCCAAGCTTTCTTTTGGTAGAGAATCTGAGTCACAAAAGCAGCCTCTGCTCATGGTTCCTTGCTCCTCCCTCTCCTCTCATCCAAGACTTCTCTGGGCCTGTTTCTATACTTAATATTTTAGGTCAACATTAATAATGTTGAGTTTAACTGGGTTCAAGCAATTCTGTTTTACATTGTGTCTTGGAAAGAGAATCACCCTAAAACTTTTAAATGCTTTACATTTTAAAAAACATTTCAGCTGATGGGCTTGTTTCTTCTCAGGGGTTTGGATACTATGCAGACCAATGTAATAACATTTGTTTTCACAAGGAAGCATATGTTTGAGCACTGTCTAATGTAGCCGAGTATTTTGAAATCTGTTAATCCACTCTAAAATGCTTGCTTGACCTATACTTGACTTGGGCTTACAAGAAATTTTATTATGCTAGTACAGTCCGATTAGCTGTGAGTAAGCAACAGCATTTTGCAAAGTTGACCATTTATTGTTGTTATGATTATCATATCTAGAGCTCTAGAGTTTACAAGTAACAGAATTAGTGTGCAATATCTATTTATTTTTCTTCCTGCAGAAGGAATCAATCAATTCCATAGTCCTCCCAGAACATTTGTAGCTTTACATTTTTGTAGGAATATTTGTTGCTTAAGATTTATCCTGTTTATTGTATTAATCAAAAGGCCTTTCTTCTAAGTACCCCATGCACCTGAAGGTGTTCTTTCCATGTGGCATGTGGATTGACTATGATGATAGTGCAGCCTCTAGAATCAGATTCCCTCTGGATGAAATAATAAGCTGTGATTGCCAATTTAAACATTCTTCAAGAGCAGCAGTTATTCAGGCTTCTAATTAAAAAAAAAGCTAAAACATTCACTCTTGTGCTTATATTTGACTAGAAATCTCAGTATGATGCACTACTGAAGCAAAACTATTTTTACTTGTGAATATGTGAACTTGCTAAGCAAAAGCTCTTATCGCTGTAGTTGATGAATCAAGCAGCCTCACGCTTCTAGGTTTAACAATAGAGAGCACAAACTACTTTTGTTTTCTTTTGTACAATGAGGAAATGTAATATTCTGTCTAGAACAAAAAAACCTGGTAGTTAAATGAACTGGGTAATCCAGGCCTTGCTCTCATTGAAAATACCTGTGCCTCAACTGTCATCTCTGTAAAAGCAGTGACTATTTTCTGTAACAGTGTGAGTAATAAACCATGCTATAGCTTTCTGTTTTCAATTCTTAATTGATACAGTATGTAGTAAAATCTGAATTTCTTATATTTAATAGCTTGTATTGTAATACATATTGTACTAAAACCATGAGTTTGAGTCATCTTTAGATATAAAAGCAAGTTGGTTCAAAAGCTTTGAACTTCCTGCATGTTTCAAGTTTCTGCAAAGTCGAGTCTTGAATTTGAGTAGATCACTTTTTTGTGGATGATTTTCTGTGTAAGGTGGTTGGAAAACTGGAAGGACTGTGTGTTCGAAAAACCTGAAGTTCTGAACCAGTTGCTGATTATGAACTGTTTGAAGAAATGGATACAAAATGTTCATTTTACTGATAGCACTCATTCATCTTCATGCTTCTTAGTTCAGTGAGAGGTTTAGTGAGTTCAGTAGTTTTGAGAAGACAGTGGGTTATTCCACTGGTCCGTAGGCTGCTGAAGGGTATTGGATCTCACTTAAATCTGGACTATAAATTTGGGTTCTGGTTTTCAAATGCTAAGAATTCAAAGATTGCAGTCTGCTTTTTGATGTATTTTTCATTTATGTCATATTTAGTGATTAACTGTTCAAGCCTCTATATATTACTGGCAGGATGAGTTTCCTTCTAGGCAATATTAATTATACATAAATTGAAATTAATAGCTGCTTAATTAGAAGGCATGATGGGTTTTAAAGAACACTTTGAGGATTCAGTATGGTCAGGGCAGAAATTCTTCCCTCATCTTTTACGTTTCCCAATCTTCTCTCTTGGCACTGCTGAGCTGAAGCGTTTATTCTTTCTTTGCCTTCTCTCAGGGGAAGAGAAAAGTAAAGGTAGTTTAAGCATCAAATAAAAGTTGTCTTATTGTGTGTAAGGGTGGTATGTTGAGAACAGTTATTTATTGCTATTCATTTCACCCTGTGAGTGGCTGCTATAGATTTATAAAATCTACTGATACACTTTAAAGTTGTTATGTGCTTTAGCTTTTACATATCAATAAATTTTCCACAGCTGTGGATGCTCAGAAGCACATCTTGTGAAATCTTTGCATTTTATTAAAAAAAAAAAAAAAGCCATAAAAAAGAACGCAAAGAAACTTGTCGACCTCATAGCCAAGTTGTCTTCCAAATACTTCCAGCTGCAGCTAGAGGGATGAGTCATGCTGAAAGCCGAGGAGCTTTTCTAAAAGCCTTTCACTTGGTTCACATGATTTTTATTTTTTTTAACGTTACATTCCTGTCTGTTTTTCTTTTCTTTAAAAAAAACAAAAAAACTAATGTGAAGGCGAGTCGCCCAAGGAAAACCCGTACGAGGATGTGGAGCTGAAAGGCCGTCACGCGGGCCGAAAATCCCATCAGCTCTCCGAGAATTCCCTAGATTCTTTGCACAGGATGTGGACGCCGCAGGACAGGAAATACACATCACCTCCCCAGGTAACAGCGTGACGACGCCGGTCTTTCTGTGCTTGAAGCTTATTTAAAACTTTTGCAAGAAAATCAGTCGTGGCATAGGAGGAAGAGCAGCCGTACCGAATGATAGAGGGCATCTGGAAAAAGAGTGCGATCAAATGCATAAATCGTTGCTGGGAATGCTCTTGTCAGCTGTAGCTCAGCTTCTGAGTGCTGCGCTGCAGAAGCTGATGGCTCTTTGTGCTGGCTACGGCCTGATGAGTTTAAGCAGAATTCTTCCAGCAGTTGTTTGTGAGTTGAATCTGGCCCTAAATTATTTGTACAGCTGCGCCTCTTTGTGAATTGCCTCCATGTTTGCTGCTGGGCTTTTAGTAGGGACAGGAGGGAAAAAGTCAGCTGCTTAATCTTGCCCATGTATTGTTACCTGAGGCCTTCATGCTCACGTGAAGTACGTAGCGTGGCATTTTTTATTGTAAAATGGAGGCGGCCAAGTATGCCCCCCCCATAAATAAATGAATAATAAAATAATCAGAAAAACCTGAGCATCTGCATTTAACAAGGCTGTGTCAGTTGTGTTTACAGCATAAAGTAAAAGACCAGGAACTCTGCAAACTTTCCATTTTGTGGTGAATTTTGCAAAGCAGTCTGTTTTTTGTGAATGCTATGAAATGACAGGTTGCTTTGTTGTTCATAGGATCATTGTGTTCATAAGGAAAAATATAAATTTCATCACATACTTAATTTTGAGATTCAAAACGCCTTTTAAAGGAACTTTGTTTTGCATTGAATCAACAGAAAATTTGCAGTTGAACAAAAGGTCACAACGGTTTACATTTTTGTCTTGTAAAGAGACCTAGAACAAAACTGAATACATTTTCTTTCACTTATTTTGTGCGCATGTAAGCACTACAGTCCAAGACAAAAGAAGTATCACCAGGATTCTTAGTATGTACCTAGCACATCATTTGTAGAACAGGAGTGTTTTCAGCAAAGCTGCTGAAAAGGTAACAAGTGGAAAGTAGTAATCAGGCAAAGTAAGGAGAAACAGAAGCTGCAGCCATGAAGATAACCTCGTAGTGAGAGATGTACTATGCATAACAATTATTTTTGGCTGTGTGTGTGTGTTAATAGGAATTGTGTAACATCTAGAGGATCCCACAGGGTGTTCCATTAGGGTAGGAACCATATAGATACATAGTAAGATACTGTCTGCTGTTCTCTGTTTTACACAGGGTGACCAAAGACTATACAGATGACAATTACTTCTGTAAAGTTGGTCAGTAAATAAATACTCTCTGGTATCTTTGCAACAGGGCTGTCTTTATTCTGGTAGCTTCTTTTTGAAATGCTGCCCGGAGTTTCCTGCCAGGAGTCAGTCCTGCCATAATTGTGCTGTCATTGTGCTGATATCTAAAGCGAAGAGACACTAAGAGCAGGTGAACTATGGGCCTGGGTAATTCTCCAATGACCAGAAATCGAAAAGTCTCAATTTCCTGAAGAATGGCAGCTTTGGCAACAATTTATCACCCAATTTTTCCAGCATAGCAACATAGCTGGATTAGCAACATGACTTTTCAGTCATGGATGATGATAAACAAGATGGAAGAGATCACGAGGTCAGCAGGCTTTCAACAATCATCTCCAAAAAGAATTCCTTTCATTAAAGTACAGACTGCTGCAGATTTTCCTGGCATGCTAACCTGTGGTAAGCAGAGACCTCAGAAACACTGGCTTGTGGTCATTTTGAATCCCGCTGTGTCTTCTCCTTTTCCATTCATATTTTCAGTTTTTGAAGTCATTAGATATAAAAAGAATGTTTTATTGATGAGATTGTATTTGTGATGCAAAACCCACACATACAGAAACACCTATGCTTCATCCCAGATAGTATGGTGCTGTAACAGGTAAGCCCTCTAAGTAGAACAAATGGGACATTTATTACTGCAGGTTTACAGCTCGTAATACTGCTAATAGAATATTAGCAAATGCCAATTGACAGCTGTTTGACATAATAGTACTTTTTTCTAAACATGCTAGTTAAGCTTCTTACAGTGTTTGTGTTTGGGAGGAGAAGGCAGGGACCCTTGCAAGCCTGCCAGTTAACCTTCCTGAGAGCTGGGCAGAGCTGCTTGAAAGACTGCTCCAAAAGAGCCCCAGTTTTTTAAAGATAGCTGTTACTTGGAGCTTAGTCTTGTCAGTGAAATTTTCCTTTACCCTTGCAATGATAACGATTTCATGTTTTAAAGGGAATTCTTTGGGAATGCAGGACAAAGCTGTAACCGCGCTTCTGCACGTTGGCAGATCTTAAAACATCTTAACACAATGGAAATACAGCAAGCTTGATTTTCTACTTTCTTTCTCTAGGATAAAATAGCAACTTCAATGTAATTGCTCTTGATTTTCACTACTGCAAGTGAAAGAGACTGACCAGACCCATCGGGTCAGTGTTCTGATGTCAGCCAAGCCTTTAAGTTAGGTTTGAAGGTTCATAGAGTTGATGTGATGTGAGTGCATGGAAATGCACCAAAGCCAAAAGTACTATTGTTTTCTTTGAACTTTAAAGTCTTCGATGTTGACCCCTGTCTCTTCATTTTGACCTTAAACCCTCTCTTCTCACATATCCCGCAGAGCAGTGGCTCACCTGGCACAATGTCCTTGTGTAGCCACCGCTTGCTCACAAAGGGCTGCTTCTGTGCTAAGTATTGCTGAGGAGGGGAAGAGCTCAAGCTGTTCTTGTTCCTGCAGCTACCTTCGAAGCCCAGCAGCCAGTCTCTGCGCATCGGGAACTGGTCAGAAAGGAAGAGCCACCGCTTACCACGGCTGCCCAAGCGGCACAGCCACGATGACATGCTGCTGCTGGCTCAGCTTGGCATTCCCTCTTCCCCTTCCAGCCTCAATGAGGACAGCCTGAGTACCACAAGCGAGCTGCTGTCTACACGGCGGGCCAGGAGGATCCCAAAGGTACTGGCAGGGTGATCAGGCTTATGCTGAGCATAGTTTACCTGTCTGCAAGAGCTTGCAAATTTCTATCCAGCCTTTAGCCATCACTGAAAGCTCTTTTTGTATCCTAAAGGAAAATTGAGATCAAAACAGAAACAGTAACTCTCAGGAGCCAAGACATGCTCCTTTTTTACATACAGCCATACTGTGAAAATCCCTTCCTTAGAAGTGGGTAACTCTGCCCTGGTCCAAGAGTAGCAAACATCTGATTGCCATCTTTGCACAGAGTTGATTTTAAGCCAATTCTGTTTTCCACACTTTTCTTTAAGCTCAGAGCATTGTGGGCCAGAGCATTGTTGTGTACCTAGCTTTATAATTTTGAATGGGTGATAGCCAAGCAATTATTATTTATAACATGCAGCAGCATCTGAAGTGGGTTTTTTCCCCATCATTTGTTTACTGGTTTCAGGAAAATAACTATTATTGGCCTAATATTTTTCCCTTCATTTACTTGCAACCTACCCCATCCTGATAACCCTGTTGTAAAAATTAATTTTCCGTTTTTCAAGGAGTTTTCCAATTCAAAATGGGATGTAAAAAAAACCCAAGCCACCAAACAAAACCAAAACCACCCAACAAACGTTTTCTAGTACAACAGTAACAGAGGGGAGGAGAAATGCCAATATATTTATTTTTTGGCTTGTGAACAAAGTTGATTTTTACTGTATATTCAGCTTTTTCCTGTTCTTATTAGAGAATGCATTTTAAAGTACATGGCTGTAAATACTGTGAGTAGAGGGAGATTTTTATGTTCCTGTCAATTCGTCTGAAATTCTGTCTAAGCAGGAAACAAACAAAAAGGAAGGAATTAATCCTACATCCTTAATATTTACTATATTTTTACTTTCTTGGAATATACTATTTTACTACACAAATGAGCATACATCTGTGAAGGAAGTTACAGAGTAACTTACAGAGTAGCTTACTACTTGGTTTTGAGTAAAACTTGCAAAGTTTGGCTGTTAGTTTTGTACCCAACTTTCTTTTTTTTTTGTTGTTGTTTTTTTGTTTTAATTTAAGGGACAGACATTCTCCTTATATGAAATTATGTTTTCAGCATATGATTATACATAGTATTATCATAAATCTCGTGATAATTTCTATCTTTGACCACTCTAGCTCCTAGAATAACATATTACTGGAGAATCTCAGGTTTTTGTTGAGAAAAAGCTAGTTATTAGAGGGAAAAACTTGAACCTGAGAAGCTCCTGTTCTGTACCACCCCCAGTGATGATTTGTGAAGCAATATCCAAATTCTTTAAACATGTGGGCTTTCCTCACCACAGCGCAGGTATTTTACCCCTGGTGAAGTAGCTCAAGCAGATAAAGTGCCAAGCAGCACAGCAAGGGGAGTGAAAAATCCCAGCAAGGCCCCTCACTCCTGATTCCTGATGCCTTGTTTAGTGCTTACGTGCAGGAGTTTCTGGGCTGGCGCACGCAGTGTGCAGATTCCTTGGTGCTGTGCAGATTCACAGCGGGCAGAGCCAGGCACATGGACGCAAGCAGAGAAGTTCCAGCTGAGCCTTGCTGGTGGGTTGCACATGGCTCAGTCAGCGTGTAGAGGCAAAATCCCTAATACTGCTTCAAGCAGGAGAACAAGCAAGGATTTTAACACTTCAAACTGTCCCTTCTGAGACAGACCCTCTTCCTCTGTTGGAGGGGTTGCATGAGTTTTTGTTCCAGTCTGTGCTCTGTTACTGACTTCCTACTCCGTCTACGGGGAATTAGTTTCTCTGACTGAGTTTATTTCTCTCTGCAAGCTGAGGTAAAACAGCTTTTGAAAATTATATTATAGTTCTATCAGTAATGCTGCTATGAATTGAAAACATGCTATTCCTGACTCATAAAAACATTATGAAGATTAATTGTTACATATTTATGACTCTCCAGAAGTTAAAATATTCTGTTTAATTACGAATTCTTAGTAATCCCAACCTCTTGTTGAAGGCACTAAACACAAGTTCTCTCATTAATATTTTCCACCATCTCAGTTTTTTTTTGATAGACAGTTATTATCTGCATTAGCCTTCCTGAGGGAAGTCATAAAGATGATTACCAGGAGTTAAAATTCTGGCTAGTGCTGGTTAAAGCCCGCTAAAGCCAGTACCAGTAGCTAACTTCAAAATACTTTTGTAGATAAGGATAAGATTGGAGACTGTAGATACAGCACCTCTGAAGTAAGGTAAGTACGGCACGAGTTGGAAGGGGGTGGGGAGGAGAAGTCCATATGGGCCAGACCCTCAGCTGATACGATATAGCTTCAAAGCAGCTGGTTCACTCTGTACCTGAAAAGGCTTTAAAAAGTTAGGGCCACCTCCTTCTGTGCTTATTTGGACACACTAAAATCTCAGTTCAGAGAGGTGCTAACACACATGTTACTCTTATGTTCAAAATAAGAATATGATCTTAAGATCCATGGCAGTTTGGCAAAGTTGGATATCACTAATGGATCACTGTTACTTAGACAATGAAAGTGAAGAAACAATAGCATAGAGAGGGAGGAATGAGGTGGTAGAGGGTAACAGGTACTTTTGAATCCTCAGGCTTATTGTGCTTTTATTACAAATGTCTACGTGATTTTTGAAAATGGGGTTTAGGTTTCCGAGTTATTTAATTGTTTTTTAAAATATATCCATAGGTAAAGGAGTGAGATTCAAAATAAGTGATTCAAACAAATGGGATTCAAAATAAGAGAGATAAGAAAAGTACTTTGAAAGAGTGAAGGCTTTGAGGGGTTCAGCTGGCCTATCATCCATGGTCAAATTCCTTGTTTGGATAGATTAATTAGAAGTTTCCTGGAAGAAAAGTGTTTGGTCTTAGTGATTCCTTAATTTCTTATTTTGCAGCTTGTCCAAAGAATCAATTCCATCTACAGTGCAAAAAGAGGAAAAAAACGATTGAAGAAACTTTCTATGTCCAATATTGAAACAGCATCCCTACGAGGTATGACACCAAGCATCATGGTTCAGTGAATCCATTTGAACGTTAGAGGACTAATAGATTCCCTTCTTCCCTCCACACCTACCCCGGGCTCTACTTTGTTTAGAACTTCCTTCTACAAACAATGATAACTTTGTGTCTGTAGGAGGAGAAAATAGGGACGAGCTAAAAATAACCGAGATTCTCAGCATTGTCTGTCCTGTTAATCCCATGATCAGCTAGACTTTATCCAGCTTTTTCTTTAGTTCACTTTTTAACTAATTTACATCTGTAAGTTTTGTCCAAAATTCACAGTTTTGACCTTGTAATTGATTCATGCTTTTTCCTGGCATGTGAATGTAACTCTCACTGCGCTTCAGACTGCTTCTGGAAAAGCAGGGGCCAAAAAGAAATTCAGGCCATGTTTGTAGTAGGAGTACAATAGAGCTTTAATGCGAGTACACCTCAGAAATACATCTTGTCATAAGGTTACTTTTGCATGTTACTCTCACTGAGTTGGGTGAGTTCTGGTGATTGAAAATGTTGCCCAGACAGACAAAGCTCATAAGGCTTACTTTGACTTCTCAAATGCTGCAAAACTTTTTTTTTTTTTTTAAATTGAAGTCTGAAAAAGAAGTGGAAGGGTTAAAATAAATTTTCAAAATGGCACATTCACCTCTGTAGCTTAGCATAGATGGGGGTTCAGCGAAACCCTGTGCTGGGGAATGAATTTTGCACTTTCATCAAAATGAAGCTCTTATTTTATTCTCAAGCAAAATTGAAACTTAATCCAAGGAAAACACAATCTAAGGAGTCATTTGAACTGTTTATTTCAAGATGTTTTAAAACTGAGGAGAGAGCATGCGTGGCTCACAAGGCTCAGTGTGAGATATGATTTTTCCCAGTTTCACCACAGTAAACCAGGTTTATGTTTGCTTTGGTTTTGCATTAACTGATACCTCTATCTCCTCTGCAGATGAGAACAGCGAGAGTGAGAGTGACTCAGATGACAGGTTTAAAGGTAAGGGATCAGCCTTCAATAACTTCAAGTCAGCCATTGTCACAGACCTTATCAAGGTACATTCTCCTGCTATTTTTTTTTTTTTTAAATTGAAGTCTGAAAAAGAAGTGGAAGGGTTAAAATAAATTTTCAAAATGGCACATTCACCTCTGTAGCTTAGCATAGATGGGGGTTCAGTGCAACCAATTGCTGTAATGGGGAATGAATTTTGCACTTTCATCAAAATGAAGCTCTTATTCTCAAGCAAAATTGAAACTTAATCCAAGGAAAACACAATCTAAGGAGTCATTTGAACTGTTTATTTCAAGATGTTTTAAAACTGAGGAGAGAGCATGCGTGGCTCACAAGGCTCAGTGTGAGATATGATTTTTCCCAGTTTCACCACAGTAAACCAGGTTTATGTTTGCTTTGGTTTTGCATTAACTGATACCTCTATCTCCTCTGCAGATGAGAACAGCGAGAGTGAGAGTGACTCAGATGACAGGTTTAAAGGTAAGGGATCAGCCTTCAATAACTTCAAGTCAGCCATTGTCACAGACCTTATCAAGGTACATTCTCCTGCTACTACACATTGTTCCTGTCCATGGCCTATATTTTCCTTCCTGAACTATGCTAACTCCATTACTGCAAAGCTCACAAAGTTTCCAACACAGGAGCATGAATGTGGAAAGCAAGGACAAAATGAGCTGTGAGGATCTAACAAGGATTTGGCAACTGTGTCATATAATGAAGAACAGGACCTTTGATAGATTTGCTTTGTCAGCCACTTCACAGATGCTGATGTTTTCCAGACTGACTACTGGGTGCAAACTTAGAGGGACGAGATTGGATAAATATGCTCTCTTCTTATTCATACACTGCTTTAAGTGTTTACAGCTAGCTGCTGTTGGAGGAAAGACTCTGGGTCTGATCCAGTGTAGCGGTTCTTATACTCTTTTATAGGTCTGCAGTCTGCAAATTGTAGAAATTCCTTTATCAGTGCACAGCACCTGCACAAACTCTGCTTGAGCCAGGCCAGTAAATTAGTCCCTCATTTTCAAGAGTCCTGATACACAGAGAGAACTATAAAAAAGTTGAAAGCAGCAACAACAGATTTTATTACTAAAAACTTACCATGTTGTTAGTAAGTGAGGGGAAAAAAGCCCAAGAGTGTGGAGCTGTGGTTATAAGATAAGGGGCAAGCATTTTTGTCTATCTGCTGCAGATGTCACCTGATTACTGTTCATGCAGGGAAACTTGCTGGAAGAAATTGTCTTAGGGAAACAGATTTGTTCCAGACAGGTGGTGGTAAGACCACCCAAAGCAGGCTGTATGCAACATTGTACAGTGATCTGTGGAAAACCACTCATTGCTCCTTTGTAGACAGGTACCAGCCCAAAAGCACTTCCAGTTCTAAGTCTCTTTGTGTCAAAAAATATAGGGGTTGCTTTTGCTCATAGCCTATGAAAGAAGACAGACGGGGCCTGGCCTCTCTTTTGTTATTGGGAGGATATTCTGATTTCACTGGAAACTGTGAAGCTTTTTCCCCATTGTTGCGTAATGGAGGATCTTCACTCTGATGGCTCACTGACTGCTTCTGTGTGACCTTATATTTACATTGATGCTCTCAGGGCATCCCGAGCCAAAGATCCAGTTGTCACGTGTAGCATGACGGGATTCACTGGGTCCCCATCTGTTGGGCTGGGGTGGGCTCTTTGGTTTCACGTCTTGCAAATATGAAGCACTGGCTGGCAGTGGGGGGCTATCTCAAGGCAGGACAAGGCAGATTATTTCTTGGGATTTTAGCTTCCCTAGTTTTGCAGTCACACCAAGGCCCAAGTGCTTTATCAAACTAATTTTTAATTTTTGTGTTGTTGAACCAGTTGTATGATGGCTGGTCACCAAGGGGTTTCCCTTTCGTTCTGTCAATTAATTACTGCTGTGATCAAGTGCTTGTGACATCTTATTTCCCTACCACAAGGGACAGTCTGCCTTTTCCAAACTGGGCAGTGTGAGTGAATGTAGCCTTAAGGGATTGACATGTGCTGCTAGTAATTCATTTGCCATTGCACAGAGATCGTGGCGTGAAGAGGTGGGGAAGAGCATGCAGGAAGCTGGTTTTACTTAGCTGTTTTCACTTATTGGTCTACCAGAACTGGTAATGATGTTACTGACTAGTCCACCATAGATGTCTAGCGACATGTCACTGGATTGAGGCATATCTTTGAATCAGGACTGGATGTGACCATGAATCTAAGATTGCCCCTCAATCGAATTGGCACAAGCAAAGTAATCCCACAGGAGGCAATTTGCACCTCTTTCATTCCCCCTTCCCTGGAGATCATTCCATGACTTGTACGGACTATGCCTGTGCTGTGGAGAAGGAGAAAATACACCTTCAGTGGTTCTTAGCATAAAGCTGTGCTATGTAGGGACAGGTCACAGAGTTGTTTTTCACCAATGTAAACCAGGTTCCAAGTCAGGCCTGAGATGTGTCACCCTGGAGGCCCTAGTGCATTTGCACACCCACATAAGGGCTTAAAATCTAGGCTTATGTGCAAAGAAAAAGCAGACCTTGGCAGGGTAACAGTTACGAACTGCAAATTATTTCAGTGCCTTAGTGTTGCATTACTTCAGTACTTGGAGAGAGTTTTGATTTATGGGTGCAATTAGTGAGGGAGACTACAGTATGAAGGTTTGCTTTTGAAAGGAGAATGTGCTTGGAATAATACACTGGCAAATTGAAAGTTCTTTGTGAATGGCTGTGGCTTACACATACACATTACAGTTTACAGTCGCAGGTAATGATCTGTCTCTTTTTTTTTTTCTCTCCCCCCCCCCCCCCCCCCCTCTCCCTTTTTTTTTCTTTTTTTTTTTTCCCCCCCCCCCCCCCCCTTTTTCTTTTTTTTCCTTTTCTTTTCTTTTAAATGCTAGCTCATACCCAGCGTCTAGTACACATCCAGTCAATGCTGAAGAGGGCTCCAAGTTATCGAACCCTGGAACTGGAGCTGATTGAATGGCAGGAACGGGAGTTATTTGAGTATTTTGTGGTAGTGTCACTGAAAAAGAAGCCCTCTAAAAACACTTACCTCCCAGAAGTGACGTATCAGTTTCCCAAGGTAACAGAAAAGTTCTTATATACAGTTCATTCTAAGACAATAAAGTGAATAAGTGGGTAAATTAATAGAAATCTATTTTTTAAATTGAGTTAATCATTCAGCTTTCATAATTTTTCCAAAGCAATCTGTTACAAAGTGAAGGACATAGAGTACTGAAAGTTTTCCCTGTTCACAAATTTATCTTTTCAGTGCTGGAGAGTTTGGCCCAATGGTAGGTGTTTTAAAGACAGTGTTTAAATTCAGTTTCTAAATATTTCACTTCTAACTCATTTTGGCTATATTAGGATTTGTTCCAAAACTTGCTGAAGTCAATGGAAAGACTTTTGCTGATCTATGGCATTTCTCTTGTGCTCTTGCAGCAGAAAGGAATTTGAATTAGGACTATGTTTTAAGTGGCCATTGTGCAACAAGGGAGTTTTGGGCAATTTAAAAAAAAAATTAAAAAACCCAGCAGTGATTATTTCTGTTGTACTAGCATCTATAAGTCTGTCCTGGGGTCGTGCCTCACTCTGCCAACCACAAATAAAGAACAAGCTGATGGGCCCTTGCTCCTCAGAGCTCATTAGTAACACCCCCCCCACCGAGAGGTGCTGCGAAGCTGGCACTAACAGTAACTGAGTGAACCTCAATTTTCTCCCCCACAGCTAGAAAGACCAACCAAGCAAATGCGTGAAGCCGAGGAGCGTCTCAAGGCTATCCCTCAGTTCTGCTTTCCTGATGCCAAGGACTGGCTCCCTGTCTCCGAATACAACAGGTAAACCCTCCAGTGCTCCTCTGCTGCACAGTGCTGGTAGAGTGCATCTGGAGTCACAGGCTCGCCAATGCCCAATTAAGGAAGTAGCAGCTTGAGATTTTGCCACTTCAGGCTCAAGCAGCTGTATTTGATTTTTTTTTTTTTTTTTAAATTCTGTATTATTTTTCTTCCCTATTCTGCCTGGCTCACAGGCCTGTGTGGCTGAGGGGAGGAGGTTTGAATGTTCCTCTCAGTGCTAAACTCAAAAGCATAAATGGAAGTGTTTAAAATAAATCTTAAAAAGGATAGGGCCCTGCCCAGCACCTACCCTAGTCATTTACCCCAGAATGCTTGTCTAACATTGCAGGACACCTCTTCATTTGGCTCAGAGCAATGCTGTTCTGAGAATTTTTTTGGAGCCGAGCTCTATGCCAGCAAAGGAGCCCTATCTTCCTTCTCTTAGAGGTGAATGACTACAGAAAAGGGCAAAGGAAGGGAGACCCAGGCTTGCATTTTATTTTTCATTGAAAAGAAACCTCAGAAAAATGTATCTTTTTTTTTGCCCCTGCATTGATGTGTCAGAACCTGTTGATCTGAAGGTGCAGAAGTAGTAGAATAGGCAAAAGGGATAGAATAGTTTGGATTGGAAGGGACCTTTAAAGGTCACCTAGTCCAACCCTCCTGCAATGAATGAGCAGGGACATTTTCAACTAGAGCAGGTTGCTCAGAGCCCCGTCCAACCTGGTCTTGACTGTTTCCAGGGGTGGAAACATCTCCAGCCTCTCTGGGCAACCTGGTCCAGTGTTTCGCCACCTGCATTGTAAAACATTTCTTCCTTATATCTGGTCTAAATCTACCCTCTTTCAGCTTCAAACCACTCCCCCCTGTCCTATCGCTACAGGCCCTACTAAAAAGTCTGTCCCCATCTTTCTTAGAAGCCCGCTTTAAGTATTGAAAGGCCACAATCACGTCGTCTCCCCGGAGCCTTCTCTTCTCCAGGCTAAACAACCCCAGCTCTCTCAGCCTGTTCTCATAGGTGCTCCAGCCCTCTCATCATTTTTGTGGGCCTCTTCTGGACCTGCTCCAACAGGTCCATGTCCTTCCTGTGCTGCGGGCTCCAGAGCTGAACGCAGTACTCCACGTGGGTCTCCCCATATTCCCCTAGATTAGGAGGTGGCTTTTTGACAAAGATGCATGGTCTGAGACATGTGTAAATGAAGTAAAGACTTTTTCAGAGTGTGTCTAGAGGGACTTTCAATGATGACAAGGAACTAGCATACACCTGCAGGAATTACTGTAGCCAAGAATACATATGGAACTTTTTATTGGCTTATATATGGCACATATGCAACATAACCATGTTATATTCTGTAATGCTTGGCTGTATTATTTGGTACTTGGAAGCACCTGAATAGTGAGTTATTGAAAACATTGAAGGAGAAGCAGACAACTGTGTGGGCAATATTGGTATGAGAAGCACACAGCCCTGCCTATACAACATTTCACCTCTTCTGCTACTGCTCTCCTAGACAGACCTTTCATGAGCCCATGTTTGTGAAACAAGATATCCCTCCCATATACAGCTATAATTATATAAATTCTGGCATTCCAGCACAAATAAGTATTTTATATAATGCCATTTAAAACTTGAAAAGCAGTCAGGAATGTTTCTCAGTCCGGGCACAAATTCACAGACCCATCCCTTTACCTGTGCTGTAATTATAGCCTTAAACTGTTGTTTTACTTCTCTGTCACAAATAGTACTTATCCTAGACAGGGATATAAAATGAACTGGATTTTGGAAATCTGTGTTGTTTCTGGATTAGAAAATTATTTCTCTGCTCTTAGAGAATATCTAAGGTTCTCCCTCTAAGAACAAAGCACGGTCCAAAGTCAGGATCTAACTGAAAGGTAAGGGAGATACAGCATTTGAATACTGTCCTCAAAATCTGATTCTTGTGTTCCTTCTACAGTACAAACAGACTGCCATGTCATTGACATTCAGCACCCATCTCTTCTTATAATAAGATAGCTAGGTTCTCCACAACCGTGCAGATATTTTTGCTTTACTGCTGATGGAATTTGTCCACAGAGTATGTCCAGATGATGGGCAGAGGGAGAGAAGACCCTCCAGTGGATAGAATCTCTCACTGCCTGGATAAGGCAGTATCCCTTTCTAAATGATCTACCTTGTAGCTATGCTGTAGTTCTGATAGTAAGACTCGGGCAATTTGTTTTCTTCTAGTGAGACCTTCTCTTTCATGCTGACTGGGGAAGATGGGAGCCGGCGGTTTGGTTATTGCAGGAGGCTGTTGGTAAGTACATCACCTTCACCTCAGAATGCAGAATTCTGTTAAACAATATCTCAAAATTATAGTCTGAACTTTGAGGGTGTCTCTCATAGCTGTAAAAGAAAACGGAGTTACTCTGAAATTTGGAAATGTAAGGAGCTAAAGTAAAATAAGAATTCGTAATGGTTGTCTCAATCAAATAGATCCCAAGTCTTGTAGGAAATTAATAAGAATGTGGAAAGTTTCTTGTGTGAGCACTTAACTTTTAAAATTCTTTATATTAAGTGCTTTCAAGCAGAATCAGAAATACTACAACACTGCAAACAAAGGCAAATGTATTTCTAAACATTTGTGAGTAGCGTTTATCTCTTGGACAGCTGCTTACATCTCCAAACTACTCTGCCAGCACTGCCTAATGAGTCTGCAGCAGGTCTGTGATGGAGGTAAATAAGCCACCCTGTCGAGTGGGAGGGCAACAATGGTGGAGAGCAGGCCACCATCACCATTTGCTCAGGACTGTGCAATAAGCTGATGCCAGTGCCAGGAAGTCTAGGTTCTCAGGCTCCTTTTCAGTCCTCATGACCAGAGGTGGTCAGCTGGTGGTGCGGGGACCCGACTCAGCCTACCAGTTTTGTCTTATCACTTGGAAAATCACTGGTTACCTGATAAATTGAGAGCATGACAGAGAGAGCGAGTGAGAGAGAGAGAGAGTGTGTGTGTGTCAGGGCGGGGCAGGGAAAAAACCTGCACAAAGGCTTGCAAAGTGTATTAAGGCAGGTGAAGCACAGTGCAAACAGGGATTTTGCTGCCTATCCTGCAGATCTGACTGGGTAGCAGCAAAGCATACAAGCAGCACCAGCCTATGTTCATCACCTCTCACATGGGTTTGGTGCTGGTTGCAAGTGACTAGGCAGGGAGCCATGGCTCCTGTGCTGTCCACGTGACAGTTGCCTACACTTGGTTGGAGAGCTTATATGGATATTGGATGCTGCAGGAGCATTTTGCATACTTTCTGTGCAAGCAGCATTGCAAACTTGTAAATAGCTACCCCCAGCTAAGAGAAAGGGACAGTGTCATTTTCCCCTTCCTTCCCTCTTTGGCATGATTTCCCATCTTTCCAAGCAGGGAACACCTGCCTTCAGTTGCTTTCAATGGCTCCCAGAAGACAGGGCAACTCGCTGTCATTAGAACAGCACTCTCAATCCTGCATGCTGCTGGCACCTGACCCTGCTCTTACCCTCCTCTTTGTCTATGGCAAAGCTCCTTGTTGTGCAGACAGCAGATGCTCTGTCTGGGAGGTATTGCCGTGTGTGGTTCCTCTATTTGTAAGAAGTTTCATTTAAACTAACATAACAGAAAACTTGTTTATCAATTCTGTGGGTGGTATTTACCATAGGTAGCATCACAGAGATTCGCTTACTCTGTATAACACTGTGTAAGTGTGGGCCACAACAAGGTTTATATGTGGAAAGGAAATGTCAACGAAGGCTTGTGTTACAGTAAATCTAGGGCTGGTCAGGGGGTGATTCAGAGATAAACAAGTGGAGCACCTAGAAGGTATTCTTGCTGGCGAAAATAAGCATAATAGGATGTAGGACAGCAGTACAATTCAATTACATTTTTATGTGTTGTCATTTAAAAAGGTAATAAGGTATATTTGGAAAAAAATAACAAAACCTCAGAAAATGTCTAGAATTAAATTACGGAATGTTTCCACTCTACCAGGGAAAGGTGGTTTAAGACTTTTATATTTCTGGGGATGTTAGCAAGTTCGGAATCATGCACAGAGCTTGCATTTGTGAAATGCAAACCAGTTGATCCTGGACCAGGCTGAGACTGAAATAATCAGCCACAATAGAAAAGATGTATACACAGGAATGTTGAATTAGTTTGTCAATGAAGGATTAATGTAGGCTTTTTTTACTCACTTAAGGCTCAGTGAAATCCACCCTACATTAAAGGCAAAATAAAAATAGAACACTGACTGTCAGCTGGTGCATAGGTTAGATAGGTTAGCATAGTAGGAAACACCAGGAACAGAATGAAATCAATACTACACACTTTTATATAAATGGTGTTTTGAGACAGCATTGGAGATTGTTTTTATCCTCCATTGGCTATGGCAAAAATCAATCAACCAGATAGCAAAAAATAATTTAAAAAAGGGAAAAATAAGTACTGTTTTGCTAAATCTATCTAATAATTATAAAGCCACTTATAAAGCTGATCTGCTGCTGCCCTGGGAGATCGCTTAATTCAGGGTGTTTCATCTGGTTCCAAAACTTGACATGCAGAAGCTGATATATCTCATCTCACTGGTGCAGCCTACCCAGCAGAGGAAAGTGGAGTGATACCAATGTACTTTACCAGCTTGTCCCTTCCTGGGGCAAATCCTGCCGTGCCTTCTGAGAGCAAAACTGGCACAGTCTGGGTCTTAGAAAGAAAGAGGATTTTGGAAGCTGCAGAGAAACATCTCAGCATTTCTCTATCTGGGGAAATGGCAAAAATAGCAGAGATTTGCTGTTATTTGGATCCTGCACCTCTTTCTGTTCTGCTGGGAGAAATGGTAGAATTGGGGTTGTTACCTGAAATGCCTTCTCCATAGGGTTCAGCTGCGCTCACAAAGTGTAACAATTTCTTGTCCCCTGCAAATGTTGGTGCATGGGTGGAACAGCCTCACTGATGTGTACTTCAGTGTGATATATCTATTTACAGTCACGTGCATACTTTCTTGTTCTATGTATGTGAATACAGAGTTTGTACAGGCAACAAAGAGCAGGTAAATTCTGCAGACACTCTTTATGTGCCCGAGGCTTGGGCTCTAGAGTAGATTTTTGTATTTGGGTGCCCAATTTCCTGACCAGCTTCCAAAAGCTTCAATTAGGGTGGCTCTGATGTCCAGGAGTGCACAGCATCTCCTCTGATTAGTCCCATTCCCAACCCACAAGTTCTGTCAAATGCAATAACGTAATCAGGGAACTACATGCACTTTTTGGCAAACATTACGTAAGAGAAAGGTGGGGCCGTTCTGTGTAATACAGAACCATAAGAAAACCCTAAAATCATTATAAACTGCTCTGCTTCAAGACAAGCCAACTGCCATGAGGCTAATTCCTTAGAAAATATTCCCCAGCTGTCCTGGCAAGGGATGCTCTTGTGATACCCAGCAAGAGGCGTCTCATACCTTCTAGAGCATTTGGCAGTCCTCGGCAGCAGGCTCCACGGCCGGATGGGCCAACCAGCCTGATCCTGTGCGGATGGATGTCTGTGTCTTCTGCAGAGGCTGGTGTTATGGTTCCTTTGTTTATGAAACAATTACTTTTTGTCAGCCTTGTTCTCCTTCGGCATGTTGCAATATGAACGAACTTCTCCACTTTTCTGCCTTCAGATTTCAGATTCTCTTAGACCCTTTTTTTGGGGGGAGTGTGCTAAAACCCTGCCAAAACTACCTCAAGGGATACAGTGACAATTATGTTCTGTTTGTACTGCAAATCCTGTACAGTATCCCCTTTAAATGTATTTATATTGTTTTGTTTCATTTTGGAACAGGATTAGAATGGAATGTAACTTGTTGTACCACAGCAATCTGCACTTCCATAGACAGCATGAAGTTTCCCAGTTACATCTTGATACCTCCAAGGCAATCATGTAACAGCTTTCCTAGTGACTCGATGTGAGAAGTATGCATCTTCATATAAAAGGAAATGGGCCAATATATAGTAGAGACATTAACTCTCACTACTATGCCATTTTACTGCAAATAAGACATTTTTCTTTAATAACTCACATTAATTTAACATTCTTTTCTATGCTGATTAATCCATCAACTTGCTAGGCTCTTTTCTAGAGCTGTTCTTGGGCTGTGGCTCTGCGATATGCACGTCAGCAGCAAAGATGATTTGAGCAGTTCCTG